TATATATATATATATATATAAATCCCATGTAAAAAAAAAAATTGTGTATCATCTCTTTTTCAGACAACCATGTTGAGGTCACGTCTCGCTAATTTGCCAAAAATTGTTAAGCGTGATATTAGTACTAATATCCCTGCATTGCAAAAAGCAACTGATCCCATACAGCAGCTTTTTCTTGACAAACTTAGGGAGTACAAGTCGAAGGGCGGGTAAGTGCATGTATTTTTGGACTATTATATATAGTAATTTTAAAAATAAAATTAAGTTAAACATATGAGAAACATTTGATAATAGAATCAGTAAATTGGATTCAAATATTAATCCATTACATTAATGTAAATATTTAACTAATGCAGTTATTTTTGTAATTATTGTTACATATTACATTATATATAGGAAAAAGTGATCAAAATAGAAAATTATGTATATAAGTTTTACACTATAAAGAATTTTATTTTTAATTTAAGAGATGGAAAATTAGTTGATCCCAGTCCAGAAATAATAAGTGAACAACAGTCTGAACTAGAAAAACTAAATGTACAATACGGTGGTGGTAAAGGAGTAGACATGACACAATTTCCTCAGTTCAAATTTGATGGTACGCAATTTTGGTTTATATGTCTATTAAATAGATATCTATTACTTTTACATTCAAGAGTTATTACAAAAATAGTGCATTTTTACATAACTATTACATAGACATATATACATATAGTTGAAATGACGTAACAGGCATTACACTTTGTGTTTTAGAGCCACCTGTGGATGTTGGTCTTGACAAAAAGTGAATATGTTAATATGTATTATAGAATATATGTGTATCGATGGTTGAACCATTAAATATTAAATAATTCATTGCAAAAATAAATATACTATTAGAGCTGAATTATTCTTTTTTTTGTCAACCTGAATAATTCATAGCAAGTAAAAAAATTTTTTAGATTAATTTAGTCATATAAAATGTAAAAACTATTTTTAACTTGATTTTTAACCAATAAAGAGTTTTGTGTTATCTACTATTTCTGCTAAAATATTCATTTTACATTTGCTGGCTACAGATTTGCATATATTTACAAGCATTTTAATTTCATCACGTGCAATTAAGTTATCATACTCGCCTGAGCAAGAGCATAATATATTCATATTTTCTCGCTTGATTTCCTTACACTTTCGACATTGTAGATCTTGCAATACGTAACCCATACTTTTGCGGTTTAATTTGTCAATTAATAAAAATTCTATTTCTGTATTGTCATAAGAAGTATCACAGATAGGACATTTCCACATATGTCTATAATAATAATAATAATAATATGAGGTTATCTTCATCTTAATTATGTTAATTGAGTATCTGACATTTACCTGTTATTTTCAATTGTGTAATTTGTGTCTCTGCAGAGATCAACATCTCTCGTGTGGTTACATGCTTTGCATATAACTTCTGGTAAGATGAGAGAAATACATGGTTCCTTCCAGTCAACATTATCGCTATGACTGCCGACTCCGATCAGTCGTAATAGATTCGTCTTCAAGTTATAAACCTCGTGTTCCAATTCTTTGTCCAGAGATAAAACCTGTAATTTTAAAAAATAGACAAGAATTTCTAATTTTTCGAACAATCATCTTGATTGTTTGAGAAACTAGATTTAATAAGTGTACAACAATAATATTGTTACCTTACATACTGCTTTGATTAATTCAAGGGCAGGATTAATCTTTATACTTTCTTTTCCATTCATGTCCAGATTAGGATATTCTTCGAGAGTTAACATTTTTTCGGGTAAATTGCGATGTATCTTTTGCGTTATTCTGAAAACAGTAAATTGGAATTATTAGTCTGCTTAGTTAGATTTTATTACAAAAACTATGTAAAATATATAAATTTATACACACTTGAACAATCTTTGAGACATTTCGCCTGATATCAATTTTTTCGCGTATTCGGCTGTATTTTCCAATGCACCTAAACCAAGTGGTGCTATAAAGGACTGACTTTGACTGTATCTTCTTCTAGGCCTTCCAGTATTATTCGTTTCGTTTTCAATCATACATCGATATATCATGTTTATATATCCTGCTATTACAGCATTGAAACTTGCTTGACATCCTGATTCCTTAGGTAAGGATTCCATCAAACTCCAACTCATGATTATTTGAGGCTAAATAAAAATAATTCAATTACAAATAAATAGTCCGACAATAGAATATCATTAAATAAAAAATATATCAGTGCAATTTTTAAAAATATTTATATAGTATTTACCGTATCATTATCGTCCTCATTTTCGGTACTCTCATTGTCTCTTGTATCATCTTTTGATAGCTGCCCTTTAACACCAGCATGATTGTGCTGTTCAATAAATTAGATATAATTGAATTTATTATCATGATAATTACGATAAGTGGTGAATGTGATGAAATCTAATTCAAATAAACTTTAAAATAAAATCAATATTAGTTTCATACAAATAGCATACCAAATCAAGCCATATCAGATATTCCCAGCATTGGTCGTATGTAATTTCGATACTATGGAATAACTCCTTGTTTCGTATGGTTTGAACAACAAATTCCATATAGCCTAAAGCATCGGCCACAGATCTTTTTTTCGTGCACACGATAATTTTATTAAAATTTGCAAATACTATAATACAGCCTAATGTCCTGAATTCTGCTATCAATTGTATATATAATTTTTTCATATAAGTGTGCAGAGTACGGCGTAGAGCAGGATCATAAAGCAAAGCACTCGAAGATCTTAGCCATCTGGAATCGCACAAATGTATAAACGTATATGCATAAATTTATATAACAGAAAAGTATTCACATAATCAACAATATATCAAATAGCATAAATAAAAAGCATACCGATAAAAGTGAATCAGCTGATAGTCCGCGAATACATTCTTATAAACAGAGACTTCAATCAACCATGCGTTTACCATGCTTCGCAACGTCTTAAACGCCGGATTGCAAAGGGTGATTTCATCGTAGCTGGGAATAATCGCAGCAGCATCACCTGTTGCCATATCCTATAGAATATCCGAATATAGTTACAATATTGCGAATCAAAGAGAATACACGTGCTGCAAAAGTTCTTGAAAGATTCTATCTCGTTAATTAATTTGAAAACGTAACGAGTTTTAGGAGATACGTGTCGCTGACCTGAACGGACGGACGTTGTTGATTGTGAAATGCCACAAAGGTACTGGTTCCGTCTATGTCGTGAATATGATGGTACTGCAACAACGCGTTGACCGCTAGACTTTCCACATCTAGCTGGACGCAAACGCTGGAATACGTGCCCGGATTGTTTGCAGCGCAATTCGAGCTTTCCTCGAAATCTGTCAGTAATCTGTTGTCGTCATTCTCGCTGCCACCTAAATCGGGTTTCTCCGTGGGTGAGCACCACAGGACGAAGTTATTTCTGTGCAAGTGTCTGGCGTAGAATAGATCTGCGCCAAAAAGAGTAGGATCCGCGGGTATGTTGCCGATAGGCGCGTGGAAGAAACGACATTGTTCTGCCATTAGCTCAACGATCTGTTGATTCTTCAAGTAATGCCTGATCATCATCTTCGCGCCTATCTTCTGCCATTCTAGCGTGCTATACAGATTTTCCACATCACATACATGCGTGTTTACGAGAGGATATTCATTGAGCAGCGGCATCTCGGTAGTCAATACTGTCTTATCAAGGGCAGTTTGATTGACGATGATCGTAGCACTGTGACCTTCGTTTTTATACGTCGTCAAAGCTGCTTGCAATGTACGGCATACTTGTTGAAAGTTTGTTTCGACTTGAACCACGAATTGCATAGTTTTAGGCAATCTGTTTACGTTGTCCTCGCCGATCTTCTCCAATATTGCTTTATGTTCGTGCGTATACAATGTACTCAGGTTTGACAGCTGATTGGAAGCAGCGACCGAATCTAAAATGAATATGTGACCTCGCTTGCTGGCGCTTAAAAATAAACCCCACAGTGCTCTTTGATGATTCGAGCTCCAATGATGATATAGGAATATATAATTAATTGATTCGGTTTGCTTGAGATAAGGCTGAAAGGCGATGCTCTTGAATTCTAACTGATCCAAGGTGAAAGTGTCGGCTCCGTCTGCCATTTTACGCGCGGCACGTGGATCGACCATGCACACGCACCCCAACTGCAATATAGCCCGAAACTCTAACGACATTTGCGTCTCGTAAATCCCTTCAATTTCTGGTTTACTCAAGTCCTCTAGGAGCTCCCGGCTATGCTCTTGAAATAGAGATTCCGGCAGAGAGTATCGATACAAGTTATACACCGGGCGAGAACGTGGTAACGATTTGAAGCTCTTCTTCCAGAGTTCGTTTGGTCCCGGATCCGGTCTTGCTTTACGGCTGTTTACGTAAAATACGCGAGGTACTACGAGACGCACTTGATGCAGCTGCGTATCGACCAGTATCCATAATCGAAACATGCCGGGTTCGCCTGTCTCCGACAGTTGAATAATTTGCCAAGGAGTTTCCAATAATTTCCTTTGAGCACGTCTTAAGAAGCCGGTTATAGTAGATGTATTCGTGTTTCGTATAACTCCCCAAGTGATTCCATCATTCTCATCTGTCTTGCTTCTCTTCTGTCGATGCTGATGCCTTTGTTTGGCCTGATAGGCCCATTTTTTCTTATGGAATTCCAACCATTTCATCCTCTCGTCTTTTGTTTTTCCCATAGAAGGAGGTGAACCTAAAGCTTCTTTCCAACTTCTGGCCGTGATCACTTCCTCCTCTATATGCTGTCGTTTCCTTTTGTTAACGACAGAGACTGACAAATTCTTGAAACTAGTTGATGGTCCTGCGAGATCCTCGATATCACGAGATTCTTCAACGCTGTCGGCAGTCTGTTCAGAACTCGCAGTCTTAGCTGCTACAGTAAATATGTCTGTAATCTTTCTTTGACGATCAGACATACTCTTCTCCGTTACTTTCTTATGTAACCAAGGCGGATGCTGTACTCGCGGGACTGGATTAGATAAGCCTTGCATCGCCGCTGGTATAGTGATTATTTTTTGGATGGCACTCCCCAGTCGTTCGATATAATAATTCCAATCCAAGATGTCCCTTATGTCGTCAGTATACAAAGTTGGATCTTTCAACCATTTTTTTAGATAATGTCTGCGGACAGCCGGTTCCGATTGGAAGATGGCCAACGGTATCGCGCGCTCGGTAACTGGTGCGCTTTGCGGTTTATTCGCTATAATATATCTACATGCTAACCCCGCATCTTTAACCATCTCGTCCCCCAAGAATTCAGCTAGTCTTTTCGCTGTAGAAATTGACGTGGACTTTTGCGCACCGTATTCTTCCAGTTTACGTGACATAGACTTGTTCTCGGATATGAGCTCGAATAATTCAGAATCGGGCATATTCGCACACTTACTATAGAGTAAATCGAGCCAATAATCCGCGTCCTTCGCGACCGAGGCGTAACACTCTTCCAACGTGTTACCCTTTAAGAAAGACTCAAAAACTGAGGCTTGAAAAATTTTGATCAGTTGCAGCTCTCCCCTTCTCTTTACTTCGAATCCTTTTAGTTCAGCCAGCGAACCGTCGAAATTAAAAACCGCGTATCGTTTCTTCAACTTTTTTCCTTCTTCCTTGGCAGCGGGCAACACCATGGCTAGATATGGGCCGTCAACTTCAAAAAATATCGAATTCTCATTTCTGATTTCGTATGTCAAATTGTCTTTATCCACAAGCTCATGATATACTTCATTGGTAAATTGATCCTGTATAAAAGATCGACACACTGATTAAAAGAAAGAGAAATAATCACAACTTTTCTATTCAGTTATACCTACTTTCACCATGAAATTGAGAACCGCATTTGGATAAGAGATCGTAAATTTCGGCTTCTTTTCGTATGTAGTGTGAACTACAATGGAATCTGGGAAAGATGCAGGTAATATGCACCATATACCATCAGTATCCAGTTCCAGTGGACGACCGATTTGTTCTATAATCTCTCTAGCTTTCATGATAATATGGGCTCCTGCGTAACATACAATGCCACCCATTTCCATGCTATGCCATCGTGCCCTGCAACATAAAACAAGTAATTAAAATTGTAGCTTGATTAAAGAAAAATAATAATAATAACTTGACGAAATGTAATAAAATTGGTAAAAAATATAGAGTGCAACATTATATATAAAATATTTTAGTTTAATATTATATATTTTAACTTTCTCTTTCTTTCTTTCCTACCCCTTTCTCATAACGTAGCCATAGAAAGAATTCAGGATACATTTGTGAGCGAGTTGAAGAGAATCGTATAAAACTTCTCTATTCTTGGCAGATTTGATCTCAGCCGCATCTTCTTTCGCGATTGCCGCTGCTACTTGTCGCTTAGCAACTTTAGTCAACGCTTTATATTCATATCTTCTGTCTCTGAATGCTCTCACAGTGTCTACATAAAACGAATTCTCTTTTTGACAGATTGTCTGTGTTCTCTCTTCCATTCTGGTAATTTTGACTTTTTTATAAGCCTTTTTGCAATATTCGGTAAGCCTATTCTTTTGAAACGTGGCTTGTTCTTTTATGTTTAATTCGTGAAAAGCTCTCTTGGAACCACCAGGGAATTGTGGTGGAAATCTTTCAGTCTCCAGTTGTTGTTTTATTCTTTGATATTCACCCAGACTTGCAGCCACTAAAATTTGTCAATGATAAACATTCGAGTTATACGTTTCTCAAGTTAAGAGAGAAAAAAAGTAATAATCTTGAAAATAACAAATGTAGAAAAAAGTTTTATACAGTGATATTTTATACTCAAACTTACAATATTCGCCTCTCCACATCCATTTCATTTTTCTTTGGCAAAGAGCATCAGGTTTGTTATAGTCACACACTGCGCAATCCATTTCGTTTACTACCGCAGAGGGTTGCAATCTGTTAGTCAAAATAATGTTCGGATACATAGCGCCAACATCTAAGTGATAAATCACAGGATTTTCTAATCTCAAAGGTTGATCTCGAAGCTCTCCCAATTTTCCTTTAACTTCATCTACTATCTCATCAAAATTTGTAACCATCTCAATAGGTACTTTTTCCTCTTCTTGTATCGTATGTTTTAAGGCATTCTCTACCCCATTGATTAATTCATTTACGGCATTTGGAATAATTTTAAAACGGCAGGGAATATCAGCTCTAAAAACACCAGACTCCAAGGCTTCCACATGTCCACCCACATAAGTTTCTTGATCCAATAAATGGCCATCTTTTGTTAGTTTATTTAATTCGGTTTCTTGTTTGTTAGGAAATATAATGTTAGCTTTAAAAGCCTCTACCATAAGAAGTGATTCGCACAGTGTACCAGATCCCTTTCTGAGCACCTAAAAATAAATCGAATTACAGATTATCTTTTTAGCAAAATCGTATATTACACATCAATCGCAATATATATCTTCCTTACTTCATCGGGTTCCATAGGAATAATAGTGCATAATGCAAATATGAATGGATGAATGTACTTTTGGTAGAGATAAAATGTTGCTACAGCATCGGAAACGGAATAATTTGCGAGTACTTCCGGTTCTTCCGATGCTAATCTGCACATTTCTTCTGGATCGAGTTCCACTGGATCATATCTCAACTTAGCTTTAGCAACAGCTTTTAAATTTTGGGAACCCACTGGGAGATAAGAATCACGTCTCACCCAACTTTAAGCACAAAAAATATTTCATGATAAAAATATTTTCAGTAATATACATTGTATAGTAATTTTTCAGAATATTTATTACCATAAGCAATCCATATGCATAGCAGCTCTATTGACGTAAACTCCCTCACGATTTTTAGAGAAACCAATTTTTTCTTTCATATCCATGTTATGTATAGCTGCTCGTGCTTCAACAAATGGCCAATCGAAGAAATCACCATTGTATGTTACAAATATATGTGGTCTTATTTCATTAATATGATCAAAAAATCTTGCTATTGCTGCTTTTTCATTAGGCTCATTAAATATTGTGAATGGACCTTCAAATTCTGGTTTTGGTGTATACTCGAAATTTCGTATATCTGCTGACACTAGTTCTCTATTTGTTATCAAATATCCCTAAAATAAAAATATTTCATACAAATTATTTTCAAAAGCAAGAGAAAAAAAATAATTTACACATATTTTCTTTTTAATTGAAAAAGGATTGAATAACTTGTAAGGGTTATTTATTTTATCCATACAAAATATATTACCTGCCCATCTATCATATATGATATCATCATAATCTGATCTATATTGGCATCTGGAAATTTCAATGGCAACTTTGTAGTTTCGATATCGTATGCCAATACAATAGGCTCGGGTGGTTCAATCATATCCTCCTTTCGCAGAATTATAGGTGGTTCACTTCCTCTGGTTTTTACAGAATACCAAGTTCCACAAAAGATGTTAGCATCTATAGATACTCGAACATGATGAGGTACATCATATTCTCTATATATAAAAAATCAAATTTAAATTATATAACATGACAAAATTTTGATAAAAATTTTAAGAAACAAAGTAAATTAGAAATATCAACAAAAATCAAAAGAAATTAAAAAATAATTATTGAAAAAAAGAGAAAAGAAACAGAAAAAATATACATATAGCTACCTAATATCAAGAATATTGTCCATGTGATCTAAAGTTTGCTTATTATTATCTTGTTCATTTGGCTGCAATGTAGTTGCTAGCATATCTGTATAGTAAGTGTTACTTTTCTCCCGTTCTTTATTAACTTTAACAACACGCATAATATCTCGCTTAACTTTTGTTAAATCAACAATATTTGCAAAAGAAAGCTTCAAATATTTTTGTTTTAAACCAATCAAATGATTAGCCTAAAATTCAAAAAAAGAAACAAATGAAAGAAACAAAATTACATTTTTTTAAAAGAGAAGTATCCCTCCAATTATGCATTGATTAAATATACATCTTACTAAATCAAGATCTTCTTTGTAAGTAGTTTCAATTTTTGTCAAAAGTCCCATGTACTTTTTAGATAAAAACGTAGAAACTTCATGGAAGGTATCTTTACGACATAAAATGTAAAAATATGGTGAATATGGCAATGACACTTTAAATCTGGTAGCATCTTCCTCTATGAAATAGTAATCTACGCCACTTAGTAGACGCTTATCATCTTCTACAATTTCAGTCTATGCAAAGAAACATCAAAATAAATATTTTACCATAATTAAACATAAGATTATATATATATATTTTTTTTTTCAAATTTTCCTACCGTATGCATATTAAGCAGAAATCCTATTCTCTCTTTCGAGTCAGTAACTCTACGAAATCCATATGCAGTGTCGATTTTAATATCCTCTTTGATTTCAAGCAATCTTCCTAATGCGTTTTCCCTGAAATGTTTAAAGATTAAAGAAAAATGTAATCAAATAAACGTGCGCAATACAATTTAAAAGATTATTATACCCCGAATTACTGGCCTCTTGATTTGGATTTTTGTTATTCGCCTTAGGAGGCCGAAAAGCTCCTGTGTTTTGCAAAGTTTCCATTTCGAAAATATACAACGAATCAATAAAACTGATACTTGTTTAACAATATACTGAATAAATAGTAATAAACAAGTAATAACATCAATAAAGATTTTAGAAGCTGCCAACAGCTGTTTGCAATGTGTTTGTACAGATTGTTATTGTTGCTCCTCTACTGGTCGCAGCCCGCCTTTTTCCATACAATCCGATATACACCGATAGTCGCGAATGTAAAATCTTGCGATTGGTGGATTCTGATTGGTAAATTGTAGCGCATTGATGAGAACAATCTCTAACACGAGGTGACATTTCGTGGAATTCTAGATAGAAATAAAACAAGAACTAATGTCTCTCTCTCTCTCTCTCTTAAAAATATAATTTTTATAATCTTTCTAAGCATAGTTTGCCGGAACTTTTATCGCTAACGAGATATGCGTCGAATATATATCAATTCCCAACGCAAGATAGCCAATCGCGTGGCTCGTCTATACAACGCCGTAGTTCGTGACAATCGGTCGCCACCTGCCGGAACTACCTCATATACAGCACAAGTCTATGGCCGTACGTCCGTTCGCAAGCCATTGGCCGCGAGGCCGAAATTACGACGCGAGATTAGTAGCGCGTTCAGTTTCATTCATGAAACGTCGGCCGCGGAACTCGGCCATAATACTTTTGTAATCTGTATTGTGTATACGGTCTCGTGCACCGCGTCGTTGCGTTAGTGCTGCTGCCGATGTGCGTGCGCCTCATAGTCGTCCACGTGATTCCCGCTTTGTGTCGCGTTTTTGCATGGTGTTCCCTGGTGCGCGCGATCGGACCGGCTGGAAATTATCACCGATAAACTTCTGGGAAGTCGGTTAACGGCGGGACCGTAGCAGGTGAGTTGAAAAGAGCGCGAGACAATTCACGACATCTTCGTATCGTCCAATGTTTTTCTTTTTTTTTTTTTTTTCTTTCCTTTCCTCTACGATTAGCCAAGCTCTCGAACGTCGTGTCACACCGATTTTAGCATTTGTTGCTATGTTCGTAACGTTTATTTTCGCGCCCCGAGCTTCGCGTATGAATGCATCATAAAGAACGGAATTCCTACGATCCAGGGAGGGCGGCGGAGAGTTTTGACTTCGCTCCGAATAAAGCTGACACTAGAGCTTATTTCTCGACTCGGCTTCGCGTTACTGCGCTTCGCACAAAAAAAAAAAAAAAAAGGTTCCATGAATATCACGACGAAAAAGAAGTTTGCGCCGAGGATACAGAGACAGTCGCGCGCATGACAGTATATTTTAACGAAGCGCTATCTGAAAAATATAAAGAATAGGTACGTTCCTTTCTGTTTTCAAATAACCGCCGCACTTACATGTGTATGTGCGCGCGCGCACACACAAAATTATAATACATAAAGACATATTGAATAAGAAATAATATTTTATAAAGATGAAAATTTATATTATCATTACTTGCCATTACTTCGTTAACATTTATCCCGAATTTAAATTTCATAAAAAGATGTGTTTTTATACTCTCTTGCATTCCTTAAAATCAAAAAATGTAACTTAAACGAATAATTTTAATCTTTTGGTAAAAGTTGTTTTACTATAGAAAAACCATATCAAATAAGCTATATAAAATTATCGAGAAATAATTATGATATAAATAACCGTTCGTTCTCTAACCGTTGAAAAAGTTTTGTTTTTATCTTCTTGCATGCCATAAAAATAGGGGAAAAAAAAAATGAAATAATACATTTAGCTGTCGTCAGACATCAGTTCTTGGACGTACGTATTTTATTTCTCGATCGACATGTGTTATGTTTGTTATCCCGCATAAAGGTTTATCTTACAAGTCTCTCGCGACTGCAAAATGGAAAAAAATGCTGAAATAGCCTTATCGCAAAATAACAATGAAACCGACTTTGATAACGGAAAGGCAATATGATGTCATCCGCTGTGCGAGGTTATCACTACGCGAAAGGTCAATTTAAAATAGATAAGGACCGGTTGGGAAAATTTCTTTTGGTTATTAGATTTGAGGAAAATCATGTGAAATAAATCATAATAAGAACAGAAATCTTACAAAAACAACTCGGAGACTTTGAACCTTGTGTGAAAGGCTTGCTTCAAAATTCTTTATCTCTCTCCACGAAACGAATTTATCGTCATTACATTTTTAAACAAATTCTATAACTATTAGATAAATTTAATTGAGGTTTGATCAATTTCTTGGCCTTTTCTAAACTTGTTCCCGAACGTTTGTTCTGGTTATTATGGTATTTAATGGTATTTATTGCAACGTATGAGTAAATTTGTACCCATCATTTAAAAGCACCGGTCTTTTATTGCCGGCGATAAAAATGATTTAAATAAGCCGAAACCTTGGAAATGAGAAAAGGAGAAGTGGAATGGTCTGCATGAGAGTTGGTCGAAGGTTTTTTGTACAATTTCTTGGGGCTCAGACCGCAAAGCGGCAACGTCGCGACCTGTATATCATCTGTCTCCTTTTATCTCATCATTTCTTTCTGTCTTTCTCTTTTGCCTTTTTTTCTTTTCCCCTTTCCATGTTTCTCTCCTTTTTCTTACCGTTTGCCAAAGATGACGAACGGTGACAAAGGGGGAGAACGCTCCGCAAGAAATGTCACGACGCTTGACTGGTCCGAAACAAGAACGACGATCAGTGTTGCTCGATGAAAGACCCGAGAGTTCAGTCTTTCCTAAAAGTTAGTCGCATAAATGTTCGGATATTTAATATTTTATGAACTTATGTAAAAAAAATGGAGTGGGTATAGTGACAATTCAACGCATTGTTCTCCAGATATTCAAAGCTGCGAATAATTATAGTTGACAAAATTACATTTTCGTTAAATATTTTAAATTAGAAAAATTCTTTGAAAGAAACATGTGTGTGTGTTAAATTATTATTATTAAAATTATAAAACGGTTCTTTAGTTCCTTAAGTTCTTAATGCTCTGGCATATTAATGCTTAGGCCTACTTACCGAAATTAATTTCGGACCGCAGAAGGTTAATTTGCAAGTGAGTGATATAGAGCCTATTTGCGATTCGTCCAAAGTCAACGATGATTCACGATTTTTTTTCTCCGCGGACCATCGGCTATGTTGAATTTGGCATACGGGTGCGTACGCACCAGATACGACATGGAAAGTTTGCCTGCCCGCATCTGGAAACCCAATAACGGCCCCCTCAAGAGAGATATTACGTTGCTTTCATTAAGTTTAAGACAATAGACACTCCACTTTTGCCATGGGCAGGCTACATGTTGAACACGATATTAATATAGTTTGTTATCTTGTTATTTGAATCTCAAAAACATTGTACCATGTTGTTATTATTACTAGAACGTATATAATGTTACAATAATCTAGTATATCCTATATTATACAACTTTTAATAAATTTAACAATTATACAACTTTTAATAAATTTTAATAAATTTTATAATGTATAATATACAACATACATAACACTAGAATATATTATTTTAATCAAAAACATTAGAATACACTGGCAATAATTCGACTTGTTAATAAATCAATCCAAAATCAAGTACCACAATAAGAATTTTTTAGATATTATGCGAGACAATATCGTTTACTTGATTCTGGAATTAGAAAAAATATAAAGAGAGTTAAATATTTCAAAAAATTTAACAAAAAATATAACGAGTTTTCTCTTTTTTTATATTAATTTTTAAAAAAGAAAATATAGCATCTTAAATACGTAATTGAACAAATTTCGGGATCAGTTTTAACTATATATATTTTCTCATAGACAAAAGTTAGAATTGATAGTACGAATGACCGTGCCTCAGTGGACCGCATACTGAGTTTATGCTATGTCATGAATGAACGCACAAAAATTGAAACACAAAATTTTAACCGACATTTCAGCCTATTTATTTCAACTAATGTTTTTTCTCGAAACTTTTTACCGTCCGGTTCGCCGAAATACAGGTAGACATTGTAGACAGTAGACATAGGCTGAAAGATATTCCCAAGCATCTTATGTTAATAATGAACTTCGAAAGATTCAGAACAATGACGAACTCTAAATTTTCAACATTATCTATTAACATCTATAACTTTTTTTAATTTTCACGTTAAAAAAAAGATGTAATAAAAAATGTATTATCAAACGGGCCAGTATATTTACTGATTTTAAATCTGCTTTAAGCCAGTTATCTATTTCGGCACTTAAACTACTGTTGATAAATAAATAGAATCGATAGATTGATAATAATGCATAAGTGGGGAAAACATCGATAAATAATATAAATATCATGCAGTAAATTATGCAGAAGCTATAATATCGAGTTAAATCTGTTTTAAACATAAGATAAAATTTATATAATTATTTTACATAATATAAATATAATTTTTTATATAATAAATATTATGTAATATTATTAAAGAGTAAACACGCAGTGTAATATGTTTATCGGAATAATATGGCTGTTCGAGATATTTTGTTCTCGAAATATTGATAATTTAAATAATCTCTTTTGCATATTATTACAATAATAATTGATTGTTAATTATTGACGGTTAATTAAATAACGACCCGCGATAATTTCAAATCTTTTGAATTTATTTACGCGTAATAATTTCTTTTTGATACTTGAAAGTAGCAGGGATTATCGATTGTAATTCGCAATTTCATGAACTTTCACTGGAAATTTATGCGATATCTTTCTCTGATGCAGATAAGCATTTGAGTGATAATGAAATATGCCCGACAAATTGTACACTTCAAACAATCGCTGGTATCAGATCCAACATGATTAGATGCACAATCGAACAATTATCGATGCTAATCCTAACTTTCCGGTGCATTTCCGCTGATATTAGTGAAATTATCAGGATTCTAAAACACTGTGATTTATTATTTCTCTTTTATTTAACGTGACAGGTTATTACATTATTTTCAAAATTATAATTTCGTCAAAGGACGTTATCTTTCATGAAAATATCAATCACTGTCGCGCGTCGACAAAGATAATCGTAAAAGATCTTTCATAGTTATGTACATAAAATTGACGTACTCTGCTTTAATTAACTCTCTTTATCGCTCGTCGAATATCGCGACAAGGGTGCTGATAATTTATGAGATAAACTCCATCGGTCCGTTAAGTATTTATTTTATGTTTAGTAAAGTGCATATCAT